AAGGTATCTCGGACCTAAATTTCATGTTAGTTGGTACTCGTCAGTACAAGAGTTAAATACAATTTTCAAAGAATTGATAGTTTCATAGTTTGAGATGTCATCACAGCTATTTAAATTGAAACTGACTTCCCACAGTACTGCAATTTATTTGACTATACAGTAACCAATCTCATGTTTGTCCAATTCTTAGTGCTCGTCGATTAAAAAGACCATGCTTCCGACAAATAACAACGATCCAGCGTTAATAGTTTTCACTGTAATAATAGATAAAGAAGATGAGACTTTCGGGATAGCCTTGTGTCACGAACAGAAGTCAAAAGTTGAAAAGAAATAATTTTTATATAGTAACATACGATAAACTTGGCACATAAAGTTAGCTAACTAAAAGGATAGATAACGAATCAGATAACAGCATGGGTCATTTCAGAAATATGAATAAGAAAAGTGTTATCGAGCTTAACCTTTGAAAAAAAGAGCTGGCTTGTCATAACAAAAACTAGATAACTTAAACTCTCTTTATCCCATTTCAAAAATACTTTTTTTTAATTCATTCAACTCCATGTAGCTTTAAAAACTACCACTTTTAACAAATGTTGACTAACCGTTAGATCGTTAGTACTTCCCGTATATACAATTAACAATGATAATAATATCATCAGTATAGGGTTGTGGACATAATGGTATAACATTGATCGGTTTATGATCTCAATAATAATATCACTTGACTATATTTATCAGCATTGATCTTCTCTTCAAGGTTGCTACACAATTTAGTCGATTGTTATCAGGACCATTGGCTCGATTTTATCGTGTATCTGTACATCCATCTCGTATACATGGTCGTGGTTTATTCGCTTTACGAGAATTTCGAGAAGACGAAATGGTTATCGAATATACTGGAGAGTTAATACGAAGTATTATTTGTGATGCTCGCGAATTAAGATATAGAGCAACTGGCGTAGATTGTTACATGTTCAGAATAGATCCAGATTGGGTTATTGATGCTACGTATGCTGGAAACGCTGCTCGATTTATCAACCATGCATGTGATGTATGTGTAGTTTTGTATCTATAAATATTTATATTTTAATCGAACGATAATAACTACAGTACTACTAATGGAAATCAGAAATCTCCAAGTTATTTCACAATACTTGTAGAATTTCCTTTTCTTCTTCACCTCTTACAACTTTACCTAGTTAGCGTTTATCTGTTTTGGTAACTATCACATGAAATGTTATTTTTTCTTGTGTAAGGAAAAAATGGTAATTGTAAAACCAACTCACAACCAAGGATTTTTCCGATCAATATATAATAATGGTAGTCTGCGCGCAGTTTCACGATCTCCATCCTTTAATATTACAAGAATTTTTATAGTGAATAATGAAGTCAGTATAATTGTTGTTAAAATTATTTGCTTTACAGCACGTAAAATGCGGGTGTTTTTTGGGTGGTGCTTATCGCGAAGATCCTTTTTTCCAGTTTAATTTATTCACACCTAATGTCACCGTTGATTAAAAATATTGTGTGATATAGCACTCAGAGTCGATCACAGTGACGAAGATGCATATACTCTCTGTTTCTACCCAAATCCTAAGTTTAGAAATTGTTTATTCTGCGAATTCAATCTTTTCTCTCAAATCATATTTTCTATTACTACTGTTACTAATTTAACTATTCTGCAATTTATCTTGACCATTTCATCTCAGTTCGCTAGTATGGAACCGATGTACATATATGACTAGTTCTGTGTTACTTATAATTGACTGAATTCGTTCATCGTTTTAAAAGTGTCTGTATAGAATTGTATTTGTTTTCATGAAATAAATGTACATTTGATGAAAAGGTGTTAGTCGGTGTATGCTATCAAATCCATAATGTTTAAATATATTCTAGTCAGCTTTCTAACAATTTTCAATATACTATTCACTTACAACTTATCCATAACAAATAGGAATTCTTCCTCAGATTACTTTATAAATTATTAAGATTTCCTAATACATTATAATGAAAAGTTGTGTTCACAAAAATGACTTCATTTATGAATCATAATTTTAGTACTCATTATAGGATATCATCTACAAATATGTATATATTTAGTGTCCCATTATCTGACTCCAATTTGATCGTATGTCAAATACGATAATGGATTTTTGAATACGTATATTTCGTACAATCGTTGATCGGAAAGCGAAGCAAAACAAAATGACGTGCAGTGAAGGCGAGTAAGCCGAATAGATCTAGGGTCACAACAATGATGAACCTAACGCATCAAACTACGTCAATGAATAACCGTCCTCACTCCATACTTTCGACGAACGCACTCAACGTAGCTTACTCAATCGATAATATCATCATACCACTACTCAAGTGGTAAATCAGACTTCGAAATAAACGTAACCTGCAAAGCTACACAAACGATTAACATTTCGAACTTCACTCATTCGGTAAACGAACTTTAAGTGCCTGGCTTAATTGATAGCAATTAGAAACGATCTAAATGGAGCCAGATAATGGGCCACTAAATATCGACTCAAGTTGTGATTTATTTTTATTTTCCTGAATCTCTCAACACAAATTCTGAACAAGAATAATGAAGTGCATAATAACGATATTAAATACACATAGACAAGACAAACTATTAAACAATCCCCATGGAGTCGAGATAGTATTTACTATTGATTCGAATGATGATTTTGTTATGGTATTTTTTATTATTGAATTGTGCCTTTTCCGTCTTTTTTCTATCTCAGTGCTCTTCATTTTTCTTTTTACTTAGCCTAATTGTTATGCTAAAGTTGTGTCGATCGATGATAAAAAGCATATTGTTATATTGGCCCAACGAAAGTAAGTAATACGCATGTATACATTATTATTTAGAAAATTTATTTTTCTTATTATTAATTTATATGGAGATGTTTTAGAGATAAAACTTGGAGGTCGAGAAGTTTTCTGTTATAACAACTGAAGAGTGTGTATGGGCAGCTGATTTGATGATCTATTGTCTCGGCGTAGATCACAGCTTCAAATCAGAAGGTTGGAAGATACATTACGAAGCTAGTCATTGCTGGGCATCTGATCATTATGACTCCAGTAAATTTTTATTTGTGTTTAACATTTTCATAATATCTTGCCTCATTTTGAAGAGTAATCCTTCTAAACAACTCAGCTAGCTAAAAGTTTGTTTACTTCACACAATTCACCCAGAATATAAGAAAATAATTGTATGAATAATATTGTCTAGGTCTTTATTCTTGTATCCGTTTCATCTAATATTTCCAATTAAATGTTTTTCTTTATATGAACAGTAAAGATCCAGTGACTTTGTCGATTACTAATGTTATTATTATGTTTTCAGTCCTCAGATATTACACTTTTCTGATTTTATTTGTTTTAATCGAAATTGTAAACCAATATAGGTAAACTTATTATTATTATCAGAATGTGTTTTGTGGAGATTTTTAGAAATTTTCACAGATTGAACTCATGAGTCAGTTGAAGTCAGACCACCATTGAAAACCTGAAAGCACTGGACGGCTGTTTCGTCCTAGTGTGGGACTCCTCAGCAGTGCGCATCCACGACCCCGCACCACCCGGGGCTCGAACCCGGGACCTACTGGCTTCGCGCGCGAGCACTTAACCATTAGACCACTGAGCCGGCATCCAACGGTGTTAATGTCTAACTTCAACCAATCCACGAAGTTGCGCTACCGTACACCATTGTCTTCAGTGAGTTCCTATCTCACAACAGACCTGGTTGAACTCCACTGGTAACGACTTCTCACTAGAACTCCAGAAGTGTCTCCTGAAGTCAGTCACTAGTGAGTAGGTGATTATTATTATCAGAATGTGTTTTGTGGAGATTTTTAGAAATTTTCACAGACAGCTTCAACTGACTCATGAGTTCAATCTGTGAAAAAAAACTTATTATTGCTGTATTAAAACCAAAACTGTATATTAGGTATGTCTAAAAGTAACCTCATTTAATCACTTAAGGTGTCACAAATATCTGAAAAATTTCGTATAGAAAATCTATATTCTGTACTGACACAACTGAAACTGACAGTCTATTTTTCTGTCTAAAGTAATTTACACTTTTATATACAATTTTTTAAAAAGAATACTGTACCATGTTTATTGACAGTGAGTTGTTGAGGACGCTAGATCCCCAGAACTGACTTGAGAAAGGACCTATTTTTATAATTTTATTTAGGAAATTTGAATTCCCTTGTTTTCGCGCCAAAGGCGCTCTTGTCACCTTCATGTCGTATTTCCCACTGGGAAATATCTTAAGTGCTATTGGTCCGTTGCGTCTTGTAGTATGCTATTATTTGGTAACTCTCCCTAAGGACGGTTTTGCACTGTATATATACGTTTTGAATTGTGTTTGTTGTTATCGCTCGTTTCTGGCTGTTTGCAGAATATACTTTCCCATTCCAAGCTTGGACGTCTGCCTCTAGTTAGCGGGGCTGGGACGCATCGAATAACTAGCTTACTGGTCTTGGTCACTGAGTCTTTGTTTTTGTTCTCAAATCAAGTGAACTTGTGTTAGCTTCAATCTAACATGTGTTCGTTTGTTGTTAGTGTATTTTGGTCGATAAATTAAAAGTTTCTCTTGATGACATTTTAATTATTTTGTTGTTAATACATATTTTCCTTCATATACTACTCATTTATTTATTTACAGAATTTATCCTGGTGAAGAATTGACATATGATTATCGTTTTCCTAAAGAATCTGATAAATTACCGTGCAATTGTGGCAGTTATTCTTGTAGAAAATATTTAAATTAATCTATTCTATATATCTCTCTATATGAAAAGAAGATACTTTTAATTTCTGTTCTATATATATATACATGTATGTATTTGTGTATTCTACTGTTTCAATGATACAGTCAGTCAGTCAGTCACATTCTCCTCTTTTATTGTGTTTCTCTTTTTTTTTATTTATTATTTATTTAATGATCAACCGGTTGTTTATTCATCCATCTATATATTCTATGCATATACACATGAATTACTTGTTAGATTTTTATAAAAATTATTTATATAATGAGAGAGAAAAAAATAAAAAAAAAATAATAAACAACTCAGTTCATTGAAATTTATTGTCTTTTTTATGTACAAAAAATTATAAAAATACAAATCATTCTCTCTCTTTTTTGTTTCCCTCCGGGATTTTTTTGTCTTCTCTTTTTTTCTTAAAAAAATAATTTCCTGCATTTCTTCATTAAAGAAAAAAAAGAAAAGAAGAATATTATTGTTTTTATCATTAATTAGTATTATTGTGGTTATTTTTATGCATCGAAACAATCGTATGTATATTTCATCGATATTATAATATATATATATATATATATATATATATATATATATATATATATATATATATATATATATATATATATGTATATGTATATATAACTGTACTGATCTGAATTAAGTCTCTTTCTTATTATTGAATATGAATATAAATTATATAAATATATATGTTTAGAAAAGAAGTGACTTTTTGAGGGAAAAAAATTGACTTTTTTCTCTATCTTAGTTACTGTGAACAAGTAGTAATATTGAGGGGGGGGGGTCAACTTTAAGATTTGGTTTTATAGGAACTAACCATTATGTGATTTCAATTTACATATATGTATTGTAATGATAGATTGTGCCACTTTTAGTATTGGATAAATATCTGTTTACAAACTGAAAGATGTACATTTGGTGTGATTGTATTATGACTAGAATTGGTTGGTCAAGAATCATAAATGTTATGATTTATCCGTTGAACAGTAATTTCAAGGCGTTGAATAAATTAAGTAGGATAACATATAAATTAACTGGGTTGTTTTATCAAATACAATTTACTAGCTTCATTCACACTTTACTAATTGTATTTCTTCTGGCGGAATCAGATGTAGACTGATTAAAATACTATATACATAAAAATACAAAAGCTCCAGAACACTTTATCTGACATACATATTATGCAACAAAAGGTTCTTAAAGTAAAATTAACGAGACATAACTGAATACATGTATATACAGACTGGTAATGTACAGAGGATTTCGTTGTAGTTATTATACAATATGTTTATGCAATGTATGTGAAAATCCAGGGGATATTGTTTAAATAATATAAGAAGTCCGTACTGAACTAATCATAGCATTGAACAAAGGGATTATTGCTTAAATGATACCTCCGTAAACGATTACACATATAGTAGGCTGATATCACTTCCAAGGACTAGGATGCCTTGGTATACAATCTCACATTTTTTCACTGAAAACGTTAGTAGCAAACCAAACAAAATTCAATAAGGAAACAGTTCAACGTCATCAAATAGAAATACACATGTTATTATTAAGCCCCTGATATTATGTTGATTTAATAGACAGGAATATGTGTTAATTCCTAACCACTTCCTATGGGTTCCTGTCATCTAGATCAGAACGTCTATTAGTACAGTGACTGTTGACAACTGAGGAAATATTTTTGCAACTAAATTTGCTTTAATCAATTTTTTTATTATTTTCGAATTTCCTTCCCCATTACCATATATAATGTAATTATCATGATTTTTATCCCTCGTCTAATTATTATCTCGGAACTTGCATTAAATAAACAAATTTTATATATTCACTTGGTGTTGTTTTACTCGTATCTTCCGATTGTTATTTAGGACTGCAATTGATCAGTCTCATGTTGGCATATGTGCATCCTGTGTGGATTGCCTCGATATAGCCTTAAGTCACAAGCTTCTTAAGCAAAGATGGGTAGTGGCTAGTGACGAAACGCGCGTCCTGTATTCCACTGCTAACCACTCTCCATCTTTGCATATATATATATATATATATATATATATATATATATATACTTTTTTTGAAAAAGATTTATACATAAATAATTCATAAGGCTTAGGAATCATTAAGTAGTTCTGAAAACAGTTGCATTCTGTGTAGAAAAATATAGTGAAATAAGATGCTCTACAGAACAGGTAATATTGTATACACTTACTCATACACAACAAAATAAATCCCACAGAATGATTGCTTTTAATTAAAGTTTATTAGTAGTTGTGTGATTATCCGTTATTGCCTGATAAATTAATCGTTTTAGTATAGATGGCCAATCTTTTAAAAGCTGATTTTGTAGAGATAACCTGTCTACGTTTGATTGTACTCCATTTTTTAAATTTTCTACCTAAAATATCAAGTAAAATATTACTAGTTAGTAGTATATAATTTGTCGTATTTTCAACAGAGACTACTGTGGTGCGTGCTACTTATATCTATGTAAGCAGTATATGACGCGAGTTAAAACGCAATGTCTGGCAGCAGAAGATGGGAAAAGATCAAGAAAGGAAGAGCGATTGGTGTTTGCAACAAGAACAGTCCAGGTTGATATGATGCATTGATATTTTGCAAATTAACAATTTACTTTATGATTTTTCTATTTTACCAAGTAACTCTGTAATTTTGTGCTAAATACAATTCGGTTGTCCTCACCTGTGTTCTCCTTCACTACACTACTAGTTATAAAACTACATGGTTATTACGATTATTCATCCTCTTCAGAGACTTGTAGCTATACCAATAAATTAAAAAAAAGTTGGCATAACTGGATTTTAGAACATATGGATATGTTACTGACTGAATTTCTTAATTTAAAATAGTATTCAGTTCTAAGATGGTGAAGATTTGTAGCTCAGATAGAAGTCTGAAGTTGTTGTTGATGGTGTCGTTCAGAAGAATGATGAAAGCTCCACGACCAAACCATCCAGCTCAGAGAACAAAACTCCATCAACATAGTATTTAATTCATTTTAGTATAAAACGGTGAAGTAGTATTCGAGTTTACGAATGTTATGATCTGATTGAGTTCAATAATCTGTAGCGAAAATACAGATGAACTTGTCAATCTATCAAATCTAAACGTTGAACTAATCAATTATAACGCATAGAAGGAATAACTAAAATTACTACACTTAATGCGTTAATTATTTAGTCATTAAGTTTTTATTTTGAAATTAATACTCTAAATAAAAACAGGAAAAAAAGAATCAATATTTTGATGACATTTCATTTTGTTGAAATGATCAAGATTTCGAATATGAAATATTTCCAGCTTAATTATTCAACCGGGAGTTCACTAATGACTGATAAGCACAAATAATCACAAAACGTTACAAACTTATACAGAACGTCCAAACTCGATAGATTTTCCTATAGAACAATGTTTTTCACTTAGCGAAATAGTTATTCTAAATTTCTTACGAATTAGAGTTTGTCTACTCAAGTCAGTCAGTCAGTTCCAAGGTAGGACCAGGCACATATATGCATCGGTCCAAGTTGCCACACTTCATTAGCACAGCAAGATGAACACCAAATTCATAGATGCAATTAACTCAATAGTGTAATATATAAAGGAAAGGTTGCATATAAGGATATAGTACAGGAAGAAAGTTAATTTGTAGAAAGAAAAATATGAAGCAATTTTAATCTCTTAGTTTAAGGGAAGACAGAGAGTGTATACACCTACTTCATTGTGGTCGATTCTGAGCCATGTCACCAAGAGTCTCCAACCATTGGTTACGAAAGTCACGCGGACCTCATCTACCAATATGGCTCAGACAAGAAGTTAGTGACTTTATGGACTGATGCCATGTTTTGGTTTGGCTACCCCTAACTTTCTTAAATCCGTATCCAACACTAGTCAGCATTGTGCGTCGTGATACGTAACATTATACAAAACAATGTTCCATCTTAAGTACGAACATATAATAGTCATCGCCATCTTTTTAGAAGAGTAGTAATTTGGAAACTTAAACAAAAACTGTTTTAATTATTTGCAGTCTATCAAAGAATGTAATAAATTGAAAATATTAATATTATTTTATTTACTTGTTTTAATGCTGGAGTCATATTGTAGATATTATTTTGATTTTCTTTGAATCCATTTATTGAACTTTCATTTAATTTGAATTTACCACAAGATGAACGTTTTATTGAATCCACTGAATTGTCTCTAGTTATCCCATTATCATTATTTGGTTCGTTTTTTGTAAGTGATAGATTTTGTTGTTCAACAAAACTACTACAGTTAACAAGCGTAGAAGTAGTATGCACTGATGTCGTTGCCGTTGTTGTATCCATATTGTTATTGTTATTATTAATATTATTATTATTATAAGAATTTAGTATTGTTTTTGGTAATGTTGATGATATTGAATTGACCATTCTTAAACTATAATCATTTTTATTTACATCACTCATTGAAATTTTATTATTCATCATATTACTTATATGGTTGATAGTTTCTAATTTATTATAAAAAGATTGATTTGATGTTGTACAGTAGGAGTTACGCATTTTTATTCTCTCGTAAAATAAATTGAATAGATTTTTCGATTCATTTACTTCATTCGGTTTAATCTATTTTAAATTATAGGTAATACTATATAATCTCACATTTGAGGTTCAAAATATGCAAAATATTTTTAACTACTTACTTGTTATCAGTAGCACGCTCTGAATTATCTCAAAAAATAAGATAACTTAGGATTGCTCAATCAGTAGAGATCTGAAATAAAATTCTTTTGTGGTTTACTTTTTGAAGTAAAAATGTACGCAGAACTAATTACAGTGTATTTCTAGGATGCCAAGCTGTCAGCATGGTCATTCATAATCTGGTAAGAAGCCTTGAAATATAATAAATTCATGTTATTTTGAAAATTTTGTTCTTTACTATTTATGTATAAACAGTTTTCTACATGCCATTAAACTCAATTTATTGAGAAATTATTCCAGAACTGTGTATACTAACTTTAATTTCTAGATTTTTGCTTCAGATCTGTATGTTGATATTTCAAAAACTGGATCATTGGTTAGTGTCTTGGTGGTAGTAGTTACCATATAATTCTGTATACAAAATTCTGGATGTCGGTTTATGAGATAAAGACGAACTACAATGTCATTGTTCTCTTTTAAAATATCCCAGTTTTTCTCCTTTTATTGTGGATTTGTGTTATCACATACACTGAATAAACTTAAGAATGTTCGAATGTAAAATTTATTCAAAGATGGGAGCGATAAGTTCAACTTGTATATCCAGTTGGCGATAGATACTTAGTGGAAGATTGATTTTCCCATGCTTTTTCATTTTTATGGTCCTAAGATTTTCAAGAACTTAACACTCATTCAGTTTGTACTCAATTTCTAGTTGTTTCTTGGCCACAGTATATGGATCAAGGAAAAAACAAATACAGTACCTAAGAAACTTCGTTTTTGAACGTATAATTCAAATTCGATGCTGCAGCAGAGATTTAAAAGAATAGTGTGTTCAGATATCTGCTCTTTGGAACTTCGATATTATCTTCTTCAATCAAAGGCCGATTGATGGATGTTTTAAGCACGAGCCACCTCTTGGACAAACTCAACAAGTATTTATCAGTTTAGTTGTTCTTATACAGGAGTATATGTTTGGCCCTAAAACGCACTTCCAATGTAAAACGATCGGCACTTCTGTTTTCGAACACTTATTAAACTATGGTCACGTTGACCATTCTTGAATATTTTACAGAATTAACAGGAATACAGATCAGTAACCTGCTAAACGTGGAACCGTTGTCAAATTATTTCAAGATTGATTTAAACGCTTGAAAACAAAGTATCCAACACCTATAACTTAAAAAATTCCTATTTTGATGAATTATTGGGTTTAATTCCTTCTTCGTGAACTTCTTTATGGTATTTGTCAAGTGGATTAATATCTTCCGAATATTCCATATTTCACCACCTCGCGGTTTCATATTACTCCTAAGTGTACTATTTAATTTCTGCTTGATATTTGGAATATGTTTTCAATAACATCTGAAATGACTCAATACGTGTTGATTACATTATAAATTTACATCCCCCTAAAAACTATAGGGGAAACGGTACAGCTTTAGTAAGTTACCTAATGGAAGAGAAAATCTCAAATGCATAATATTAATCTTAGTTGTATTTGAAAGACCTGTTTTCCTTTTAACTACATCCAGATAACTTCATTATTCAAAATTTACCAACTTTTTTTCAGAGGTCTGTTCGATTTTTGAAATAAAGTTCAGCTTTAATATTATTCTCTCCTTCTAAATTCAGTAATTTTAGGCTCAATTTTGATCGCTGAATTCCGAATCCCTATGGTGGCTATAGTGAGAATCAGGGATAAATATTTACTTTCAGAATGCAAGGTTTGCTTAGATTTCCGGTTTAGAAATAGTTGACAGAACGAGCAGGTATCAGTTACATAACCATTAAAATTCGTAGTAACTTTGAATAGTTATTTTGTCTTAATATAACACTCTTCAGAGCAATACGTCATCATTGATTCATTTTTAGTTGTATATCAATTCATCGAATGGTGATAACAAATATCAGTCATTGTTATTTAGTTCTAAGAGTCTAGTGAATTTCGAACAGATAGAGTATTCACTTTATACTAATTAAGCTAGATTAATTAATACAAAATGTTCTTACAATAGGATTCAGGCATAAAACGTATTACTTAAAAGTCCAATCTGTTATAGTGTTATATTATAGCTTTTTTTAGTGGCCCGGGATCTGATTTCAATTACATCGTATGAATTTTCGCTGTCGGAATATATATCCTGACTATTCTCGTATATAATAGTTGACTTAGATCGCGTTCGTGAATAACGGAATTAAATAAGCGAAATACGAGAATGAATTTTAAATGAGTATATTTCATGCACTCATTGATTTGAACAGAAGATCAGGGAATGGAGCAGAGCGAAAAGAAGAGAGAGAAGCGAAACGATGCGCGGTGGAGAAAGCATGTGAATCAACTTCATTTAATCAAGCGTTAATCAATATTTATAGTCACACAAAAATAAGCTACAGACATGTGGTGAGCAGGATAAGAAGCGTACAAACATACTCTCAATTGACTCATGATCTCAACCATTGAAATTACTATAATATCCACAAAACCCTTGTGATATGAATTAATTAATTCTTTG